GAATATCCAGAAGCAGAATTACTGGATCATTAATACTTCTGTTTTTAATATTTTGAGAAACCTCCTTACTGTTTTCCATACTGGCCGTACCAATTTATATCCCCACCAATGGTGCATAAGTGTTCCCTTTTCTCCACATCTTTGCCAAAACTTGTTATTTCTAGTCTTTTGATGATAGCCATTCTAAAAGGTATAAGTTGATATCTCATTGGGGTTATAATTTACATTTACCTGATGATTAGTGATATTGAGCACCTTTTCATGTACCTGTTGGTCATTTGTTTGTCTCCTTTGGGAAAATGTCTATCCAGGTCCTCTGGCCAAGAACTGTTTTCTTGTTATTGAGTTGTGTGAGTTCTTTATATATTTTGGATATTAACTCTCTATGAGATATAATTTGCAAATATTTTCTCCCGTTTGGTAGATTGACTTCATTCTGTTAATGGTTTCCTTTGCTGTGCAGACGCTTTTAAGTTTGATGTAGTCCTGCTCGTTTATTTTAGCTTTTTTTGCTTGCCCTTTTGGTGTTAAATACAAAAACATCATTGCCAAGATTGATGTCAAGGGGCTTATCCCCTATTTTTCTTCTAGGTGTTTTATGGTTTCAGATCTTACATTAAAGTCTTTAATCCATTTTGAGTTAATTTTTGTGCATGGTATAATACAGTGGTCCAGTCTCATTCTTTTACATGTGGCTATCCAGTTTTTCCAACACCATTTATTGAAGGGACTCTCTTTTTTCCACTGTATGTTCTTAGCTCTTTTGTTGTGAACTAATTGAGCATATATGTGTGCATTTGTTTCTGGGCTCTCTATTCTCTTCCACTGATCTATGTGTCTGGTTTTATGTCAATACCATACTGTTATGACTACTATATCTTTTTAATATAGTTAGAAATCAGAACGTGAGATGCCTCCTGCTTTGTTCTTCTTTCTCAAGATTGCTTTGGCTCTTTGTGGTCTTTTATGTTTTCATACAAATTTTAGGATAGTTTATTTCTGGGGAAAATGTCATTGGAATTTTGATAGAGACTGCATTGATCCTACAGACTGCTTTGGGTAATATTGAGAATTTAACAATATTAATTCTTTCAATCATGAGCACAGAATATCTTGATGTATATTTGTGTCTTCTTCAATATCTTTCATTAATGTCTTATAGTTTTCAGTGTATAGGTTTTTCACCTCCTTGGTTACCTTTATTTCTAGGTATTTTCTTCTTTTCAATGCTATTGTAAGAGGGATTTTTTTTTTCATTTCCATTTCTGATAGTTCATTTTTAATGAATAGAAATGCAACACTTTTGTATATTGATTTTGTATTCTGAAACTTTACTGAATTTGTTTATTCTAATTTTTTGATGGAGTCTTTAGGGTTTTCTATATTTAATATCACGTCATCTACAAATAGTGAAAGTTTTACTTCTTCTTTTATGATTTGGCTGCCTGTTTCTTTTTTTCACTCCATAGAATGATTTTGAGATTCATCCATGTTGTTGCATGTAATAGTAGTTTACTCATTTTTATTACTGAGTAGAATTCCATTGTATGGTTATAGAAATATTTTGTTTACCACACTGTCTTGCTTATAGTACCTTTACAGTAACTTAAGTCTTGAAATCAGAGAGAAATACTCTGACTTGGTTTTCTTCTTTTATTTTCTTTGAATATTCTAGTACTTTGCTTTTTATATTTAGTATTAGCTTGTCAATTTCTACCAAAAAGTTTGATAAAATTTTTACTGGGATTCTACTGAATATAGAAAAAAATAGAAAAATTTAAGAAAAGTTGACATTTTAACAATACTAAAGTGACATCAGCATCAAGGTGATATAAAATGTCCCTTCTTTTCGTTCCCCTTTTTAACAACTAAAAATCAATATCCATCACAAACAAGAAAATCTCTTTGGGAGTTGTGGAATCCAGCACCATATTACCAGCAACCCAAGAAAAGTCTAACCCACCTGTGCAGCTGGTAGGCAGACACACCTCCGTATGGGCTGTGGAACCAGCAGAAGCCATTGAAACTGTCCCAACTCGTCATAGCTGGAACTAGGAAAACCTGGGGAATGCCGATGTGGTCCGACACCTGTGGGTGAGAAAGGCTTTATAGAAGTCCAGCCATCTGGAAGGGAGATTCCAGCACACCACTGGAGAAAAGAAAAATACGAGTTTGAACACACTAGAGAGGATCCCGGTATACCAGTGCTGCCCCTGTACTGTATTGTACACATAACATTTTGGTTAAGGTGGTAGACCTCCTATTAAGTGTTCTTAATAAAGCAATATTTCAATAAATAAATAAATAAAACTTCATTTTTTCACATGTGCAATACTTTGTATTAGTTATTTCATAATTTAGGCAAAAACAACCATCAAAACCTTTTGATAAAAGTTGTTTTTCTCTCAAATTTTGAAAAGTATACCAGGGGGTCATACTGACTGTTTTAAGGTAAATATGATTCTTTATGGGTTCAAGCGCTCCTACCCAAGTATGGGAAAAAAATTGATTTCTGCCAGAATCAAGAAAACTCAGAGAATGAGGATGTTGGAGGCAGTTTCAGGAGGTGACAAATCAAAAAGAATGAATCTCTAAGGACATATTGGAACCATATCCTCTTGTGAATTTACTGCTTATGCAATATTTGACTTGCCATTTGGCAAATATGAGAGGTCACTGGAAATGCAGTGACTTCACATTTTTAGGAAAGGTCACCCAAAACACACACATGTACGCCTATATATATATGGGTATTTAGTGAGAGAGAGAAGGAAGAAGAGAATTAAGTTTTTCATTTACCTTCAAGAAAGCATTCAGTGTGGTGACAGTGAGTATGACTCTCTGGTGTTATAAAGTTGACTTAATATACTTCAAAATTAATATATTGATATGTTTTGTGAACTTTATTTCTACCTTAGGTAAAATATAATTTTCCATTGAATTTTTTAACCTTGATTATATGTATATAAAATTTTTTTTCTAGGAAGTTTCTTCTCTCTTTTTCTCCTTTGGTGATTGATTTCAGGACATTTGAAAAAAAGAAAGAACAAGCAATGCTCTGAATGTATAACAGGAACAAGCTGTATTACCAACGGGCTCTACCTCCTCACTATGCAGTTTCTAACTTGAAATCAAACCTGACTGTTTCTCAAACCAATATGGGTAGAATGGTACTCTATTCACGATCTCTATGGGAAGTGGCAAGGAGTTTGAAAACATATTCAGTATTTATTAACTATTCAGTATTTATTAACAATGTATGTGGGGTATTTTGGAAAAATTCATTTATTTTAGTAATTCAAATAACATTCAAGGAATGTTTATGGTGTTTATAGTTATGAAAAAAGGCCAGTTTGGCAGACTTGCCCAGATTAGGTCCCTCACAGTCACCAATCCTAGTATCTTATATAAATATCACTCTCCTTCACTCTCCCCCTCTCACCCCTACCTCTTACCTTCCTTCCTGCCTTCTCTCCTAGTCTTCCTCTACCGTCAAAACCTGAGAGCTTTGAATTGAGCTTTTTACAACCTTGGTCAAAACAACATACACAAATTTGTTTCTTAGAGAACAAATAATCCTAATAAGCCTTGCTGAGGTTCATATAGTGAATGAGAAACAATTTTTATTTTAATTTTTGATAAAAGATAACGGGCCATAGGCGGCTCTTAGGAATAGTGGGGTAAGTCAATTTAAATTTAATTTTAGCTGTTAGTTAGAAAGTAGGAGGCTAACAAAGAGACTTATTAGGTTTCAGGAGTACTAATAATAGTATAATTAATTTTCATTTATTGAGCAGCAAATGTTTATGGAGCCAAGGACTGAGCAGGGTGCTGTATAGCTGCCTTGGTACCTAGTCGTCCTTCTGTTTGACTCTATCTAAAGCTTCAGTTTATCTATGGGATTTTAAGAGCAAGCACATAGGTCCTGAGTAGACCTGAAGTAGAAGGGAATGAGAAATGCATGGACAGTACAGGTAAGAGAGCAAGTATAAAGAGTTGGTACTGCTGAACTATCACTACATTGTAAGTCTCTTGAAGGCAGAGAACATGCCATTCCTTCATGTATCCCTCAGGCTAACCTTTTCCTTGTCGAATAAACATGTCAAGTTTAGAGCAGAAGACTGCAGCTGTGGAAACTACAGCCACATTTGGATATGATGGCTTCAAATAGAGGGTAGGGGAAAATAAAAGTCTGAAACTTTGAAAACATTACAAGGTTGCAAATGGAATACAGTGGAGCATTTCCAAGGTCAGGGTGGGAGCAGGATTATGCTAGTGCAGGCATCCCTTAGGAAAAGTATCCATTAGGGAGAGGGGAAAAGTTGATGGAGATCTTTGCAGTAGGAATTGAGAGGAATCAGGACACCTAGAAGTTCAAAACAGAGCAATGGTCACTGATTAAGTTGTATGCATCATGTGTAGTATAGCGAGTGAACAAGAGTTATTTATTAGGTCATCTCTGAATCCAGGTACTTTAAGGCAATAATATAAAAATTTCTCTGTATTGTCATCATCTGAGTAACATTTAGTCTGCCATTCTGCGGGAATTAAAGGAAGTTCTTACATACAAAACAGACAGACTTCCCTGTTTTATTCACAGTTTCAAAAAAGACGATCATTCCAGGTATTAATTTTCTCTCCCTTTTCTGACAGATGGTGTATCACTTTCCTAGGACTGCCAGAACAAAGTACCACAACTGGGTGGCTTAAAATAACAGAAAATTATTGTCTTACATTTGGGGAGTCTATAAATCTAAAATCAAGGTGTCTGAAGGGCCATGTTCCCTCCGGAACATGTGGAGGAATCCTTCATTGCTGCTTCCTGGTTTCCGGCGGTTGTCCAGCAGACTCTTTTGCCCCTTGGCTCGCAGCTGAATAGCTTCAATCTCTGCCTTTATTGTCACACGGTATTCTCTCAGTGTGTCTCTGTCTTCACATGGCTGTCTTCTTAAAAGGAGACCACTCATACTGGACTAAGTGTTCACGCTACTCTTGTATTTCCTCATCTTAACTTAAATTATGTCTTTAATAACCCTATTTCTAAATGCAGTGACATTCGGAGGTATTGAGCTGAGGACCTGAACACATCTATTTTTCGGGTTGTCAGGGGGAAACCAACTCAAACCAAAACAGATGGTAAATGGTAGCTCTGACATCAAGGCTACAAGGGTAGGTTGATAAATAAAAGGTCCTTTGGGAAAATAGAATCATGTACAAAGCTGAATAAATTACCAGAATAGCAGAAGTATTATAAAAACCTACTAATTGACAAAGTGATGAGAAACAAGGAGAACAATAGGACAAATAAGGTAATAAATGGAAAATCTATGAAGCAAATAGCAAGGCAGCTCAATATCATGACTTTATGTTATATCGTAACATTTACTACATGCAAATTTTTTTATTCTCCTGTCAATTTGTTTAGATTATTATTAAAGTGAAGGTACAACATTTTGAAACTCAGGTAGAGATTTTGCAGACGCTCATGACTAAGGCTAGAAACCTGGTTTGAGAAATGGGTTGGAAGGACAGACAATCCTGGGGAGGTGAGCAGACAGGACTACACTGCTGAGTCCATTATGATGGGGCACAATGTGGGGCTGGACTCCTGCCCTCCACCCGCCCCATGCCCCAGCTCCCCAGCCCTCTCCCTGTGACAGGCAGGCCTGAGAGTGTCCTTCCCGTGGTTTTGATCACACGGGAATCCACAGGTTCCAGACAGAAATCAAAGTCCTTCCTTGATGAGGGATCCTGGACTGGACATGCCCTTTTCTGGGCTTTGGTCTTCATCTGAGCACATGATGCACTCCACTGCAGGATTCTTTACACATCTGTCTCTCCCCTCACGATGTGGTGAGTTCTCTGAAGACAAGACCCTGTTGGATCTCATATACCAAGCACTGGATCCTCGGACCCGGCTTCTCCTGCCATCTGCCAACCTTGATCCCTCTGCGGCGAGTCCTTGTTCTCAGGCTCTCCTTAAACACAAACATCATGCAATAACTTTTTTCCTCTAATAGGTTGAAAATGTGGTGGCTACTTGTAACAATGTGTTTCATCCACATGTCTGGAAATTCATTTTGTTTCCTTGGAAAAAAAGCGGTGAACCCTGAAGCCAACATGAATATTGTAAGTTATTCATATCACTAATATTTAAAAAACACTTCCAAAGATATTGACACTATTGCTCTCATTAATCCTTTATGATTTATTATAAAGTCTGAAAGATTTCTTTACAAAGTACATGTTACCCCAACCAATAAGAAATTCTATTTTAAGAATCCGAAGTGGCCAAGTATACTCATGAAGCTAAATGTTTTGTCTTTTCTGCATTCAGAGTCAGATGATTTCCTACTGGGGTTACCGAAGTGAAATGCATAAAGTTATAACTGCAGATGGTTACATCCTTCAGGTCTATCGGATTCCTCATGGGAAGAATGATGCTGATCATTTGGGTAGGATTGGTGTGAGGGAAAAAAATGAGTGTCTCAAATCCTGAATCAAATACATTCCAGTCAAAAATATTCTAATCATAAAACACTAGATTAAGTTACTCAAAAAAAACCTGAACCACCTTGGTCTCTGAGATTAAGCTGAGGGTCTGAGTGATACCAGATTTACATTGGTTTCTCTGATGTGAAGCACACTGGCCCATGATTTTAGTTTGTCGTGCTGGGTGGAAACTCAGGGCCCCTGAATAGAAGACCCACTTAATTAACATAATGCTGAATTTCCTTAGAACATAATTTTTTCAATAGGTTTTTGAGGTTTAATTGGCATACAATCAACTGCACATATTTAAAGTGTACAATTTGACATGTTTTTTCATCTGAGAAACTGTCACCACAATTAAGATAACGTATTCAGAAATATTCACCTCACCAAGCAAACGTTTTTAATTCTATTCATATAAAAGCCTGTTTCTATCTTCATGTTTATCTGAGAATAAGGAGTGAGTTTATAAAGATTTTAACAATTATCTTCTTTAGGTCAGAGACCTGCTGTGCTTCTGCAGCATGGTTTCCTAGCATCGGCCACAAATTGGATTTCCAACCTACCCAGCAACAGCCTGGGCTTCCTCCTGGCGGATGCTGGATATGATGTGTGGCTGGGAAACAGCAGAGGAAATACCTGGGCCAGGAAAAATTTATACTATTCACCAGACTCAGCTGAATTCTGGGCTTTCAGGTAAAGAAAAGGGACGATTGAAAATAAATATTGAGTTAAAAAGCACGGGTATTCACTGCTTCCAGCCTAGCCTCATTTTAACAAATTACACTCCAAATAGGAGGAGAAGGATGTCATCTTCATTCTAATACATTTTTGGATTCTTCCTTACACCTCATTCCAAGGGTAGCCTTTCCTCCAAACCGTCTGTGATCCCAGTAACCATTGTTACGGGATTCCCTAAATATGCTTTTCCACAAGGAATGAGCGAAATGACTGAAGCAAGGAAATTTGCTGCCCCCAGCAGATTCTGAAGGAACATCCACAAGGATTACTAGAAGGTTAAACCCAGTTGGGGTTCATGAACAGCACCTGTCATCATCAGTATTCAAGTGGGGGTGGGGAAGATAATGAAATTCTGACACCATGGGGAGATTATCAAAGATTTCCTCTCACTGGCCCTCTTGTGCCTTATTCCTAGAAATTACTAATGGAAGTGGAGAAGAGAATTTGCCTGATGACGATGAGGTGCAAAGGTGCTCTTAGAAGTTCCAGGAAGTGAAAGAAGCTTGTGTGTCCCGAGTGTAGCGAGGAAGAGGGCGAGTGAGAGGAGAGGAGACTAGAGATGCTGACAAGGGCCAAATCAGGCCAGGCTGCATAGGTCTTGGTTAAGGCCTTGGAGCTCATTCTAAGTGTAATGAGAAGCTTCTGGAAAGTTTTCAACAGGGGAGTGGCATAGCCTGTTCTCGTTTTCAAAGGGTTTTTCTGGCTGATTTTTCTGTTCATATTACATGGCAGTGGAACACAACATACAAATGATTATTAAATCTGACATTCAGGTTCAAGGGTAGAAGTATTCCCCAGCTACAGCTACTATTGTGTTTGGATTACATTGTAGCTGTGCTTCAGAAATGATGTGCTGTGCTTCAGAAATGATGTCAGCTGTTTATGAGAAGCCACCCCAAAGAGCCCCTGACACTCACTAACAGTCTATAAGCAACAATGCTTAGAGAATCTAGTTTTCTATTTTTCAAAGGAAACCTTACCTTAAATAGGTTGACTTATAGAAAGTAGAGCAAGGAAATGTACTCATTTTTATTTTGTCTTTTTTTCTTGCAGCTTTGATGAAATGGCTAAATATGACCTTGTATCCACAATCAACTTCATTTTAAGTAAAACTGGACAGGAGAAGCTACACTATGTTGGCCATTCCCAGGGCACCACCATTGGTAGGTAACAGCAGTTAGCAGGTAGTTTAGTTCATATAGACCCCTTTCCAGTGGTTATGCAGACATGCTGGTCATCATGCTAATTGCTTTCCATTCATTATATAATGTCTACAGCAACCCAATGATATAAGACCATTATTATTCCTACTGTATATATAGTGAAACTAAAGAGCAGGTAAATAAATAGTTCGTGTAAGGTAACACAGTTATTACAAATAGGGTAGCTCAGATACCAGGTCAGGAAATCTGACGCCCAAGCCAATGCTCTGAAACTTTGTACCACACAGGCTCTGGTCTCAGTTTATTCCATTCATTCAACCATATTTATGGGGCACCTATAATGTATCCTAAGAATACAGCAAAAATGAAATAGTTTAAAATCTCTGTCTTCCTACTACTTATACTCTAGCAGGAGAAGGTAGAGAAAATAATAAAAATTAAAAAGTAAAATACGTACTATGCTAGATAATGATAATACTATGAAGAGAAAAATAAATCAGGGGGTCAGATTAGGGAGCATCAGAGGGGTACACAGCAATTTTATACCAGGAACACCACCAAATACTTTCTAAGTAAACGTGAAGGAAGTCAGTGAGCCAAGCTCATACCTGGAAGACTGATATTTCAGGAGGAGGGAACAGATAGCCCAAAAGATCTGACGCTACAGCACACGCAGCACATTCAAGGAACAGCAATGGGGCTGTTCATTGTGTGGATGAATCAGATTGAGAGAGACAAAGATGAGTTGGGTGGGAGTGGTGAGGAGGGCCGACTGTTCAGGGCTTTTGAGGCTGTTGTAGGGATTTTTGCTTTCTCTCTGAGTGAAAAGGAAACCATAGAAAAGTTTGAGTAGAGGAGTTACATGATCTGACTTGTTAGCAGGATCCTTCCGGTTGTTGAAGGAAAACAGGGATGGAGCAGAGAAAGCAGTCACTGAACTCTTCCTGTAACCCAGGGGAGAGATGATAGTGACCCAGAAGAGGGGGTGGTAAAGATACCTGGTTAGGTTCTAGACGTATTTTCTATATATGGTGGGGGGGAGACCAGCAGAATTTGCTTATGTAATGGATATGGAGTGTAAGAGAAAGAGGAGTCAAGGATGACACCACGATTTATGGCCAGAGCACTGGGATGATGGAGATGCCATTAGCGAAGACGAGGGAGACAGTAAGAACAGCTGAGGTGGTGGGGAGAGCAGGGGCTCAGTTCTGGACCCAAGTGTTAGGTGCTATTGGAGATCCAAGTGGAACGTCAAGCAGTCAACTGTAGATACAAATCTGGAGTTTAGGAGGGAAGATTGGGCTGAAAATACAAAATGTGAATCATCAGTACATGAGACAGGATGTAATAAGCAAAGAATTGAGCTCAGACAGAAAAGAGGAGGGGTCCAAGCCCTAAGGCCTGGGCCACAATTGGTTTGGAAGATGAGGACGAATCAAGTGAATAAACTGGAAAATAATGGTGACTGTGGTGTAAGGGAAGCCAGGAATGTCTAGAGTTCTGGAAGGCAAGTAGAGAAAGTATTATTAGGAAAATACTGCAGTCAACTGTGGAAGAGGCTTTGATCAATCGTGTGAAATGAAGTCTGAGGACTGACCCTTGGTTCTGGCAACCTAGAAGCTCTAAGGGAACCTTTCTAATAGCAACTTTGGTGGAATGGTTGGGACAAAAGCATAATCAAGGAAATTTAAGAGACCATGAGAGAAACTGTAAAGGGAAGAGAAAGGATGAAAGCAGAAGGGGGAATAGGGGATTATATGGGAGAAATAATGGTGTATTTTTTATGTTGATCCTCACTGTCAGCCAGTGACATTACTTCCTACTACAATTCTAAACAATCCGAATGTCCATATATGGGCATATTCAGGAAAGTGGATGAAATACTTGGTAGAAGCCTGTGGAAGTTCTCTTCCCACTGCTTGTTCATCCTAAAGCATGGATCCCACTGGTAGAATTTTAGACAGAAAAAAGGGTCAGTGAGGAAGAGCTTCCCAATGTTTCTGTCATTGTGTAATATGTTATGGGCCCAAGGAGATGAGGATTTGTGCTATTTTTTTTTTTTTAATAAAAGCACTTTTAGAGGAAAGGGCAAAAAAGCAGGACTAGGCAGAGGGAGAAGTTGGGCAGTGATGCAGTCCCCAAAAGTCCTCAGCCAGCTCTGTATGACATGGCTCTTCAGAGTCTTCATCAGTGGGACTAGCTGGCTGGTCCTTTACCCATTTGTTGACCAGTCATTCAATGCAGGATGACCCAGGAAGGGACCTTGGGTTCTCTTGAGCAAATGCAAAATCAAAAGTCTCCCTGCAGCTTCAGCTGAATAAATGCCTTGGACTCGAAGAGAAATCAGGGCAATGAAGAACAGCAACAAAACACATGGTTAACCATGGATTCAAATTCTTTGTTAAAAAGTGAGAAATCTTCTAGATTCCTAAAATTTACTCCTTTAGTTTCCCAAACTATCCAAAATTTAACCCTTTTGGATGGAAATCTACCTCAACTTATGACCGATGCCCATGCTTTTTTAAATAGAACATGTTGAACATAGCTTAACTTTTTTTCAACGATATAGGGCTATAAAATGATTGCATTTAGCTGAAATGCAACAATTTCCTTAGGAGTTATTGATATCAATAGAACTGCTTGTCCTGACACAAAATAACTCCAACCTACCAGTCTCTTGAGTATTTAAATTTTGTCTTTCTTTCATTTGAACTTCTTTTCATTCTTCTTTTTCACCACTGGATAGTTTGTCATTATGTCACCATACTCATACATTTTGGGAAATTTTTTTCTGCCTTCTAATTTACATCTTCCAATCAATCTGCTGTGTACTTGAAAGTTAGATAAGTATCCTTGATAGAATTGTGTCTAAAGTGGGATTAAGTTTATTCTGAGAAGTCACCTGTCCTGACCCTATATGGACCCATGGACACCCACTCAGGCTCCTTGCGTGTGATTCTTGCTTACTCTGGGTGATCTGTTGGCTGATATCTGCAGAGTTAGGCAACCAGATAAAGAATCCCTTAATAAACAGAGTGCTCTTGGAAAGACCATTCTTCCTCCATTGGGATCAGGCTGGATATTATGTAACTGAGGCCATTGTGTAAGTTGGAAAAATTTTGTTTCAGGGCATTATTGAGTCTCGTCAATATGTCATTATTAACAGTAGGGAGAGATTGTCTTATGTAATTCAACTGTAAACAATTTAAGTTGAGGGCTTCCCTGGTGGCGCAGTGCTAGAGAGTCCACCTGCCGATGCAGGGGACACGGGTTCGTGCCCCGGTCTGGGAAGATCCCACATGCCGCGGAGCGGCTGGGCCTGTGAGCCATGGCCGCTGAGCCTGCGCGTCCGGAGCCTGTGCTCCACAACACGAGAGGCCACAACAGTGAGAGGCCCACATACCGCAGAAAAAAAAAAAAAAAGAATTTAAGTTGATAATTCTTTGATTAGAACCCAGTCTATTTATATGCTACTGTTCATGAAAACAATTAAAAGCAGACAGGCTGAGAATGTTTATTGTATATAGATGTTGGAATTATCTCGGCTTCTCATTTGTCAAGCATTTACCATGTGACTAGTTCCTGGTAAATACTTTACATGATTCACCTCAAGTACTTCCTAAACAACCCAAGGAAGCATTCATTATTACATGCATTTTTAGATGAGGAAACTAAGGCTCTTAGAGTTTAGGTGACTTTTCCAATGTCACAAAGTTAATAAATCACAGAACCAGGTTTCAGACTCTGGACACATTTCAAATTTGTGCTTTAACCTTTCCACGTATATACCCTACTCATATTAAATGTTAATTATCTCATTGTTACGAGATTAGATAATTTTAAACTGAACCAAACCTGTTGTAATATAACGTTTTTGTTACCACATGATTATTCTAAAGTAGGCCTGTTTTCTAAAATCAGATAAAACAGTTTATTATAACTTTCAAAAAGTTCTACCCTCATGTTCCCAGAGAGAATCTATGAAAATAAAACAAATATACTAAAATCTGATCATTCTGTCGATTTCAGGTTGTCCCAGATGGCACCCGTAGTAAATCCAAAGTAATGTCACATTGTAAAGCACACACGCACACACACACCTTTCACCTTTTGTTGTTCTTTTTCAGGTTTTATCGCCTTTTCTACAAATCCCACGCTGGCTAAAAAAATCAAAGCCTTCTATGCATTAGCCCCAGTTGCCACAGTGAAGTATACCAAAACCCTGTTGAACAAACTTGCACTCATTCCTCCCTTCCTCTTCAAGGTATGTGATTCCCTTTAACTGGGTCTAAGATGTTAAATTGTTTGTGTATTTCAAAGTGATGGAAAGAGAACAAACACCTGGTGGACAATCATGTTTATATTCAAGGATGGAAATTAACATGTTTATATTATTTCTTGAATAGCACTGACCATGGTTGAATCCCCATTAGAGTTTATGAGATCCCCACCGATTTCTTTATTCTCGATTACGTTGTGTGGATTAGCAATGCCTGGGAGAGTTTTTGCTCCTTCCATGGATGTTTCTTTACCAAGCACCCACACAGGTCTTCAAGGCTGTGATTTCCCCCCCAAGACCAGGGAAAGGGAAATAAAAGCAAAAGAGTCAAATGAGAAGCCTAAACCACCTGGTCCAAGAAAAGTGGGAAGAAGAAGGATAGGAAAGAAAAGGAAGGAAAGGGAAAAGGAGAGAGAGGGGGAAGATAGCAATGGTGAAGTGAGGCAAGGACTCGGAGACCACTTATCATATATCCTTGGCTTTCCAAGCCTTTTCCTAAGAGTTCCTTCCTCTTTAAATGGGGATTTCATAGGGCAGTAGCATAGATTTCAATAAACTGTAAATATTATGGAGGCATACATGGTAGGGAATTAATAATCTTTCCTTTTTCCAGTGTTTAATCACTGACTTCTCCCACCCACCGAAACTAACACATACACACACATACACAGTCTCCTTTAGGAGAACAGTTTACCTCAGGCTACAAAATTTAATGATGCCATTTTCTTCTGTGGTTGAGTGCTATTCTTTTTTTTTTTTTTCACTCAATTAACACGCATGCCTAAAATCTAAGAGATTTTACCTACAGACCAACTACATTTGTAAAGCTTTTACTCAAAATGTAAAATTGTGTGATGACCCTGAGTATGTTTACCGGTTGCATTGATTCAGAAATTGTTTGTTTCTTACTCATATTCAGATTTTCTGACAGGTAATGTAGAGAGAGGTTTTTAAAAAAGCATTAGACCTTAGGTCAGAGGCTTGAGGCTCAGATCAAGATTCTAGCTGTAATCCAGTTCTCACTAGACCAAGATCCTGACTATTCATTAGCCTTATGTTCTCACGTATAAAATGGGGATAACAGGGTACAAACTACCAGTTAAAAAATAAGTAAGTCACATGGATATAATGTATAGCACAAGGAATAGAGTTAATACTTTATAATAACTTTGTATGGGGTATAATTTTGAAAATATGGAGTCTCTATGTCGTATACCTGAAACTAACATAATATTGTAAGTCAACTATACTTCAATAAATTAAATAAAATGGGGATAACAAAGTGTCTACTTATTTTAAGAACAATTAGGGTGTGTCCTTTCAATTTTTAAACTACCAAGCCTCTTTGTCTTCTTAAAGATTTTGCTGAAAATATGGCTTAGAAGTCACCATTTCCCCTCCTGATTTTTTTTTTTATTTATTGCCGAAATCACACATCTTGGCACTTAATTATGATATTCTGCCATGTTGTTTTATGAGTTTATTCCCTAACTCCTATGACCCCAACTAGACTGTAACTCTGTGTCTTACCCAGCACCCAATGCAGTTCTCAATGCAGCAATTAATACTCAATACTCATACCTGCACTGTCCATTCCATATCTTTATTGTGGGGATTCAATGAGAGAGAGTATTTAAACCTCTTAAGACAACATATAGAAGTATGAAAATATAATGTCTATTCCCATTTGTACCAGTAAACAAGACAAATTAATGTCTTTTCTGCAGCTTGTTATTTGCAAATCTTTAATGATGCTTTTATTTTTCAGATTCTATTTGGTAACAAATTGTTCTACCCACACGATTTTTTGGAAAAATTTCTTGGTGCTGAAGTGTGCTCCCGTGAGATGCTGAATGTCGTTTGTAGGAATGCCTTGTTTGCCGTGACTGGATTTGATAAGAAAAATTTGAACATGGTTTGTATGCATTGAAATTTCTATTCTGAATATTTTGAGCAACCCTCATGATTACTTGTCTCATCATCAATTAGGAATGGTACTTTATGAGAACCAGGAGTCACTTCAGAATTCTGTCCATGATATGCAGATAAGCCCACGAGAAATCACAAGTCATTGCTCGCAGTTTTGTTGCCTCCACATTTCTTCCATCACCTCACTGTGCCCTGAAGTAAACAGCTTGTAGGAAAAACAAAACAAAACAAAAAACTCCCTACTCACTTCTGATCACCTGAATAATTGGTGTGACATTTAAATTCTGTGAGTGGAGGCATTGAACCAAGTTGTCAAGTTCGTCTGTAGGAAAAATATGTCTAGATATTGAATATTACTTTAAATATTTTTAATGCTGATAGTCATCTCCATAAACTTTCTAAAACTTGTTTCAGAGCATTTATGTAAGATCTTGTCCACACTCTTTACCTTCTATTTCATTTGCTTTGCACCAAGTGGATGCTTAAAAGCACATATGACAAAACGCGGTATCAGAAAGTAGTTAAGAATATGGATTCAGGGTAAAAGCCTAAATTCAAATCCTATCTTTGCAGCGCACTTGAACTCCTCCATCTTGATTTCCTTATCCATGAAATGAGTTGTTGTGAAGATTATATGAGCTAACATATGTAAAGTATATAGAACATAGTACAAAGCAATGCTCATAGTATATCATGTTTTGCTCATAGTATATCATGTTTTGCTACTAATAGTATGATACACTGACACCTATTCTCCCTCAAAATTGTTTAGTTTTGTTATATACCCTCGAAATTAGCCCATATAATCACAGTTTGCAAGCCATAAAGTGATGTACAACTTTTTTGCTCGTATCCTGCCAGTAATGCTGCCCATAAAACTTGATCTAGATCAGAAAAAGTTAAGTCTTAGATGTTTGTGAGAAACTGAACATACATCTAAGTGCGCATGTGTGTGCTTGTGTGTTTGCTTTCTAGACTCGCTTAGATGTGTATCTAGGACATAATCCAGCAGGAACTTCAGTTCAAGACGCCCTCCACTGGAGTCAGGTATCATTTCAAGCTGCTCAAACTTTTTGTGGGCCTAAACCATTAACAATTTACCTAAAGCACAGTCTTAAAATATTCTGTCAAATGCTTCTAAAAGGGAATTTTTCTGGCACGTGACTACCAGATGAAAATATCTATCAATCCATGTGAATGAAAATCCTACAAAAAACAGGTGCTTTGGGTAACAAGAAATAAATGATGATTATGACTTGAAATTATGTCAAGCAAAGCTGCATTTAAACTTGAATAAATTGTTGCAGAGGATTAATAGTCTATTTTTGGAATGAGAAAAAATTTTTAAATAATATTTAAATTAAAAGTAAACTACTTGGAAAAGTTGGCATTTTATTATTTACATAGCCAAGTGACTTTTTAATTTCCTTGTATCTTTAATTTCTCTACATTAGGCTGTTAAGTCTGGGAAATTCCAAGCTTTTGACTGGGGAACCCCAACTCAGAACATACTGCATTATAACCAGGTAAGCATCTTAAGTTGAGGTTATTTGCATTTTGAAAGACAAAGATATAAAAAGTTAAAGATGAAATTACGATAACTTTGCAGGTATTTTCCAAAGGAATGCTGTTGCCTAGACCTAGCCTTAAGGAAATTATAAAGTAGATGACTCTATCCTTTGAGTCTTTTTGTCATGTGGAACATCACACTGGTCTCTAATTCTTCCACTGAGCCTTCACGCTCCAGTGTCTGTGCTCATTCAAGCTGCCCTCAAAGTACCACACCACTGCAGTGAGAACCTTCTAGATCTTGTCACCCCTCGCTGCATTAGACAGATCTGCCCTGTATCCCAGACCCCCGGCATGCTGTCTTCTCCTTTCCAAAGTGCAACTAACTGTTATAATAAACCAATAACTTCTTCTTTTTTTTTTTGGCTGCTCTGCGAGGCTTACCAGATCTTAGTTCCCCGACCAGGGATCAAACCCAGGCTCCAGGCAGTGACAGTGCAGAGTCTTAACCACAGCACCGCCAGGGAATTCCCTAAACCAATAACTCTAACTGTTCATGGGATAGAGCTGGAATCTCTGGTCTTCTTAAACAATTTCCTATCCTTTGTTGATGGCCAGAGAAGTTTTCTCACCATATTCCCAGACATAAAAGAAGGATGGTATGCTTGCAGTTCAAGGCTGGAAATATTTTTCAGCAGACAAGAGCCTTGTACGCAGGTAGATATACTGAGCATTCCTCCTACTTGTAGTACAAAGAAGCCAGGCTTTGGAGTCCATCGTACCTGAAGTTAATATAAGTTGAGACAATAACTTTTCATCTCTCCACCCAGACTCAGGGAGTTATTGACAGTAATTAATGGGTAATGTCAGCTCAGGATAAACTCTCAGATTGTCACAGGCTAATTTTGAATGAGAGAATTGCTCTGTGTTTTTTTGGTAATTCTTTCCCCTTCTACTTCACCCCACGTCCAATTTTCCAACCAAGTAACAACCCTATTAATTTTTGTCTGCTTCAATGACTCAATATCTACAAGGGATTTATATCTTTTCACCACAATGTCTTTTGTGTGAAAAAGATGGCCCAGCCTCCTTGTTTTTACATCTCTGATGTCTTTAAAGAGGTTTTCTGAACACAATCAGATCAAACATTTGTTGTAAAGACTTTGCCCCCCAACCATCACAACCTCAAACCCCCCAGACACAGACTCTATCTTTATACTGGGCTCTAATAACAGTAATCAGAGACTCCGTCTTGAAGGGCCAAGTGGGGCATGAAACACCCACTCCCAATTCCATTCTCCCTTCAACCAAGCCAAACTCAGGATGGTTTCAACTGACTGAGGGAGTGACACTAATTTAAGAGCCAGAAGCTAGGTTCTGGAAAACACTTTGAATAGTGGAATATGAGTAAAGAAAAGTAGGTTTATTCTTATAGATATTCTCCACAATTTTCCCTTTTCTTCAACATATAAAGGAATATAGTAAAGTATTAAAATACTATGAAAAATTGCATATAATAAAATATTTTTCTTTGGTGAATTGGCTATTACATAAGGATAAAGAAAATATTCATATTAGAATTCTTGAGAATATCATCTTTAAAAACTAACAAAATTCTCTGTGAACTGTGGGAAAGTTAGCAGTGATTCTCTTGTCCCCTTGGCCTGCTTTATGAATCTCTTTAAAATCTTTGTGTGAATGGAGATTTTGTAGAAATAGGAAATGGGGCCACTGATAGATTTTCTCAGAATTTGAACGTATATTTAGTAAAATCAGGCAAGTATTTAACAAATACAGCTCCTTAAATGAAATGATTACCTATGGAATGACTATACTGGCAGCCATACAAAGCCAAAATAAACGACTCAGGACATTTTGAGTAACTATTTGTATAGAAACTATCTATCACAGTTAAAATTCAGTCACATTCACTTCCTTCAGCTTGAGTCGAAATCTAAGTTTTTACTTCGTAAGAATTATTATCTAAAGCCCACCTATTCAAAGCATGGTCCAGGACCAGCAGCCTCAGCATCGTCTGGGAATGCAGAATCTAGGCTCTTCCTCCAGATATACTGGATCAGATTCTTCATTTTATTAAGATCTCCTAGTGATTCACAGGGCCTTTAGAATTTGAGAAGCACTGATTTAAAACATTGCATCCACGTTCCTCTGTGGATAAAGGTAACTCTGAGCAATAATTGTTAAGATTTACTTATGAAACTGGGTCATGCCACTTGTGACAACGTGGATGGACCTTGAGGATATTATGCTACATGAAATAAGTTAGACACAGACAGATAACTATTGTATGATGTCACTTACATGTGGAATCTAAAAAAAAAAAAATTTAAAAACCTCATAGATACGGAAAACAGATTGGTGGGTGTCAGAGACGTGGGCAAAATGGGTAAAGGTGGTCAAAAAGTATGAACTTCCAGTTATAAAATAAGTACGACCTGGAGATGTAATGTACAGCATGGTGACTACAGATAATAATACCGTACTGTATATTTGAAAGTTGCCAAGAGAGTATATCTTCAAAGCTCTCATTGGGCTTCCCTGGTGGCGCAGTGGTTGATTGAGAGTCCGCCTGCCGATGCAGGGGACACGGGTTCGTGCCCCGGTCCGGGAAGATCCCGCATGTCGTGGAGCAGCTGAGCCCGTGAGCCATGGCCGCTGAGCCTGCGGGTCCGGAGCCTGTGCTCCGCAACGGGAGAGGCCACAACAGTGAGAGGCCTGCATACCGCAAAAAAAAAAAAAAACCTCTCATTACAAATATATATATATAAAAAAACTACATGTGCTGGTAGATGTTAACTAGATTTATTGTGGTCATCATTTCACAATGTATACGTGTATGGAATCATTGTAGTGCACCTGCAACTAGTATAATGCTATATATCAATTGTATCTCAATTTTTAAAAAACTAGGTTAATGGTATCTAATCTACCCACTGAGTAAGTATTGAGTTTCAAGTGCAGTTACTTATAAAAACTCTGATTCTTAACACTCTGATTCTTTTCCTCTGGTGTTTTAGGCCACACCTCCCAACTACAATGTGACAGCCATGGATGTACCAATTGCAGTATGGAGTGGTGACCATGACTTGTTGGCTGACCCTCAGGATGTTGGTCTTTTGCTTCCAAAACTGTCTAATCTCATTTACCACAAGGAAATTCCTACTTACAATCACTTGGACTTTATCTGGGCAATGGATGCACCTCAAGAAGTTTACAATGAAATCATTTCTATGATGGCAGAAGATAAAAAGTAGTGCTGGATTTAAAGAATTATTCATGTACTTTTCCCAAAATGATTTCTTCTCTTCCACATAGTTTTCTGTACTGTTTTAAATGCAATGTTTCTTTCTGTAATTCTGACTTTCAAAATATATTAGCATCAACAAACTTTTCATTGGTCATTTTTAATTGAAAAGAATTTTTTTTAATTAGATTTTTTTCACTTGAAAATTTATCTAGAAACTCTTGAGAGAACACAGTCTTGGGGAGGTGAAACTTCCCTTCCAATCCTCCCATTCAGTTTATCTTCTAAACTCCAGGTAGATAATAAGCCATGAATCATGGGTGTTGCCAAAAGACAGTCTTGAGGTTGAGTATTGATATCTCGTATGCACACTTGAGATTGAGTAAATTGTTTTCTTTCTATTGTCTGTTGTTGCTAAAGCTCAGTCTCTCCATCTGTGCTATGGGGATATCACTTGCTCTTTTGCTTGTTAAACTCCATGAAAAGGCAAATTAGACTGTAAATTGAATTGAGGTCAGCTCACTTTCCCTTTCTAGGGAGAAAAGAACAAGGGTAGCTTAGGGAGCAACAGGCAACCCCCAGTTCAGGAAGGTGGGAGGTAAAGGATTTCTTAACCTCAACATTATTGACATTTTTGGACAGATAGTTTTTTTATTGTCCTGGACATTGTAGGATATTTAGCATCATCCCTGGCTTCTACTTACCAGATGCCTTGAGTACGCACACCCCCCAAGCTGTGCCTCATATATACCTCTTAACTTGCACCATCATACTGTTGCTCACATTCCCCTCCAAAATTCTTAATTTATTTTGGGTTTACAAGTATGTATCCATGCTCTGTGCATAACTCATAGGAAGACCAATATATCTGAACAGAGAACTGTGTTGTAATCTCAAGCCTACTAGATATAATACGATTCACATTTTTAAAAGTCAAGATATTCTAAAATTAGAAGATGCCTAAGCATTACCTAGTTTAACCCCATCATTTTCCAACTGAGGATATTAAAGTTCATAAAGGTTGAGCACCTTAATAAAGGATGTACAACTGGCATTGTTAAAATCCACACATTCTAGCCCAAGTACTCTTCTCTTTCTGCTGCACAAAGCTGATGTACATAGCTCTGTTGTACTTTCAAATTAAATATTTCTAGAGTTATCTGAAGGAGGCAATGGGGTGAGGTGGTGCTGAGGTTTTTCTAAAGCATTATTCGGAGTAATATTGGATATCTGAGTTCCTAGGCTCTACACAGATATCTAGTATGAGAAAAATGCCGGTTGAATGTGAGCTTTCTCTGCTAGTGTGAAAGAAAGTAGAAGTAGCTAGATAGATGTTAGAATGAGAAAGAAGGAATAGAGGTGAGAAGAAAAGTAAAGAATGGAAAATATTAGAAGGTATTGACATATACACACTAATATGTATAAAATAGGTAACTAATAAGAACCTGCTGTATAAAAATAAATAAATAAAATAAAATTCAAAAGAAAAAAAGAAGGTACAGGAAGGGATTAGTGCTTTCAGATGCAAACCTCATCCTCATCTGCTTTGTTGTGTCTCAGTTGGTCATTGTTGTAGCCCTACTCAAAGAGATCAGATTGCAAAAGCCAAATATAATCTTAGCCAAACAGGGAAAAATGTTTAAGGCATACAAGGAGGATGCCACTGTAGAATTTCCTTTTGAAAATAGCACTTAGGAAAGCAAATTAAAATATAGATGAGATGAAATGTCTGCTTAAATAACCCCACCCTAAGTAGTTTTCAGATGGGTTGCTCATAATAGCAGTGAATCCAAAACCTCATCAAGGATATTAAATTATAGCTGAAATAAACTGTAAAACAAGTCAAAGCATCATAACAAGGAGATGTCATAGTAAGCTCTGCAGTAAGTATGGATCTATGCAACCTCAAAGGGTTGTTGTGAGGATTTCCATATTCATTTTGAACGGCTATGTATTGAATGGCTACTCTGTGCCAGAGAGTTTAATATAATTAGTGTATGATTCATGATAGCACTCAACCAATATGACCCATTATTACTTTTATAGCTCCAAGGCACTATCTATTAAGTTAATTTTGTTGTTCTTACATACCAGACAATCTTAGCTTCAAGCTGGACTAACCTACTAAGTGAGAAGTTCATAGAAGAGTCAATATTAAGTGTATGATCTACTGAACAGCAGGTAATTTCTCTGCACACATAAAGCATTGATATTCTGGTTCATTGAGCCCTTCTTGTGATTTTGGTTCGTATAAAGCAGTTCCTCAAACCCGACTATCTTTAAGTACTGAAGTCATATTAAAAAACACAGAAAGCCAAAGTTTACACATAATTACGGATCCAGGTTAGACCCAATCTGAGGGACCAGTTGGCTTCCATCTAAAGATTTTATCTTACTATACATTTTGGAGCTTAATGAATTATATTTCTCTGAATGTTAACCCTCATCTAATTATTTCAAGGTTTATTTCTGAGACTGAAAAAGCATTTGAAAAATACTTTCTTCTTCTCATATTCATGCGGTTTGCCTACTCATTCTTCCAAAGTTTTCATCTCATCTATCGTATCATCCAGCTGGCTCTCCAAACCAGGGCTGCTTAACTTGCCGTATCTGTGAGCTTGAGGTTTCAGTGAAACACTTATGCTTTTTTAAATGTCCTTAATTCAAGGTCTCTCTACAAGTCCCAACAATCTACTGCTCCTTACTGGAGAGAACACAATCCATGTATGTCAGCACACTCAGTAGCACCAGATTACTTAGCTTACTATTTTATTGTTCAACTTATGTCACTATAGCAAGGCCAATACCTACTAGGTGGAGATTTATGATACAGGATTATTTACTGGGAGTCAGGTGACTCTGCTGGTGAATCCTTATGTCTTCATCATAAAGATGTTAAATTAGGTTATAGAACACTGAAGAATATATGTCCATTATGTACAGGTATACATACATATTTTTACAAATGCATATTATATATTTTATGTGTATAAGTATATACATAATACATCATGTATAATATTATACATATAAAATTATGCACAAACATACATGATTTGCTGAGAATATGAGTACACAGTCAGCTAGGTACACAGTCAGAACAAGAATTATTTTTCCTTGAATAAATATACTGCCAAACAACTTTAATCATTGAAGCATTAATATACCCTTTCTGAGAGCTTCAGATTTTTCATTTTAATGAGTTTAGGACTCTATGTTTCACACGTTTCACTTTGAAACATCTCATAGCATACATTTACTATTCCTCAGAATTCTAAAGGCTGATTGAATTTAAAACAGCTCAAATCACCACAGGAAATCAAAAGATTAGAAGATCTGCAAATGGTTTGGCTCTAGAGCAAGTTCAAACCAAAAAAAGAGGTGAGAAGATGTGGAAATGATATCCCAGAGTTATTTTATATGCCTTCTGCTAATTGCCTGTCCAAGCAATGATATAAAATATGGCTGAACTTATTATCAAAACAGGGTAAAATTAATCAACTGGGTTCAATATTTTAAAAAAACTTCTTGGTCTAGTATATCTGCCCTTCTTGTGGAAACTATTTATATCCATTTAGTAAGCTTAAGTTGTATAGAATACACTATATTGATACTCATTTAATAAATATTTATCAAGCTAGACACTGTTCTGGTTGCAGAACAAAAGAAATCTTTTGCCCTCATAGAACTTATATTTTAGTGGTGAAGGTTGATAATAAAATATAAACAGATAAATGTATGTATGTATATTATGTTATCAGGTAATAGAACCACTGATAATAAAAATACAGTAGATAGGTGAGTAGGAAGCACACAAGGCACTATGTTAAATAGAATGATCAGGAAAGGTCTCTTTGAGAAGTGACACCTGAGCAGAGAACTGACTAAAGTGAAAGAATTCCAATGTGTTTGAGTGTCCTGGTCCGGTAGCTCTGATCTGTCACAGATGTGACTAGTCTTGCAAGCTGGCAAGGTAACCTGCCACAATTTCATGGATGCTGGCAGAAGAGAGGAAACCCCCATTTCAAAGATAAAAGACTCTATTACTCGTAACACACAGACTTCATGACCTTCACATTCCCCTCGATCTTCAAGATCCATAGGGATAATGTGAAAGCAGGCCTAGATGAACATTGGACATATAGTGTATCTATGTCACAGTGACGCTTAGGAAGCCCCCAGTCTTATGAAGGCGGCTGTTAGCAAACCTGTCCAGTCTCTGCCCGCAGAGAGAGACATTTTCTTTATCATACTGGTCAAGAACAAACCTGCCCTCTACCCTGGAGAGAGACAGTACTTCTGTGTTTCCAGGCTGTTTGCTTTACAACATCCTTGAAAAGATAGTCTGGAAAAAACTGATCTGAGACATACAGAAATACTCTGGAGAATAGTCTCGCAACATCAACATTTAGTGTACATCAGAATCACCTGAAAGGCCTTTACAACCACAAATTGCTAGGATTAAACCCCAGTGGGTCTGGGGTGAGTCTAAAAACCTGCATTTCTAACAATTTCCCAGGTGACACTGATGCTTCTGGTCAGAAATACTTACTTTGAGGGCTTCCCTGGTGGCGCAGTGGTTGAGAGTCCGCCTGCTGATGCAGGGGACACGGGTTCGTGCCCGGGTCTGGGAAGATCCCACAAGCCGCGGAGCGGCTGGGCCCATGAACCGTGGCCGCTGAGCCTGCGCGTCCAGAGCCTGTGCTCCGCAATGGGAGAGGCCACAACAGTGAGAGGCCTGCGTACCGCAAAAAAAAACAAAAACAAATACTTACTTTGAGAATCTCTGTTCTAAATCTATTAAGAAGACACCTTGTGTTATGCCGTTGTTGATTTGCTTTCCTTTGGCTAGGCTTTATAATCAGAAACTCACATTTCTAAATACTTATACCTATTGTAATCTTTATGTCATTGACTCTGGTAAGTAACATATTTCTTATTAGAGACACTTCTCATATCTTATACTGTGGTTCAGCTTTGTGGCTTTTATACTTCTATTTCAGACGAACCTTAGCTGTTATTGATGCCGAAAACTCGGCTTCTGTGCACCGGTGCCAAATTGAATCTCTGAGACAGAGTTTTGGGTGAAGTAGAAAGAATAAGTTTATTGCTTTGCCAGGCAAAGTGTTAACGCAAGTTCGTG